GCTGAAGAACAATCCCTGAGAAGAATCCTCAAGTCTTTTCGTTAGAATGGGCAACGATTGCACTATTCCTCTACCAATGACCTTGAACTTGTTCAAATGACCTTGTGTCAAGTTTTGGACACATCTCCAGATCATAAGCAACCTTAATATCAAGTATGAACTTTCATTGGTAATTCATTGATATGTTATGAACATGTCAAAATTTAACATACATATGGAAGGATGAACAAAGTGATTCCTATAACCCCCCCCCCCCCCGTCTTTTTTTCCAAGTTTAGATTGTGATGAATATAAAAATCCTTTTTGAAATTGAATGTGCATTTATTTATCAACAATAGTAAAATTATGAGTATGCTTTAACAGAACCAATATGACCAATATAATGGACACTGTACATGTATTCAATTACCCCCACCCCTTCAAAAAAGCTTATATAAATGCCAGATTGTCACACATTTTAACCATTTGTTACTTTTTCCTACTAAAGTTGCCTGCAAATTTTATTGTATAGATATGACGTATACATAACCCCTAACAAGATCACAGCATTCAATTTTCCAGCAGTGGTTGTAGATTTCGCATATATAGTGATAAACATAGGTAATTTTTTCAAAATTAATAATCATTGACGCCATGTTCATTTCCCGTTGTCATGGCAACAATATCACTACAGAAATTTTGATTTTCCTATTTCTGAAGAATGAAGTAATTCCATCATTCAACAAATAAAGTAACCAAAATACCTTATCTTATCACATTCAGAAAACATATTCATAGAAAAATGGCTAAAAATCATTGATTTTCATAAAAATTTATGAACCCGTTGCTAAGGAAATGAATTTCCTTGGATACCAGGCCCTTCATACGTTCCAAAAAAATTTTAATTGTGTTTTAGCATTAGATAGGACAAAATCTTTTATATAACAAAAGATTTTGAAAAAATAAAATTTTGACTTTCCATTCAATGCTCGATGTTTGCTGATTTTGACTCTTAACCTATTCTAGTTCCCAGGGGATCAACGACTTTGTAGACCCAGATTTATGTACAGTGGAGTATATATGCATCTTTTGATGGTGTAGTCAATATGATTGCAAATTTGGGAAGGGGCGCATTGATAGGTAAGATGGATATTAAAAGTGCTTTTCGTTTAGTTCCAATCAATCCAAGGGATTTTGACTTGTTAGGGTTCTCTGTAGATGGATTATATTACATAGATAAATGCCTTCCCATGGGTGTTCCATTAGTTGCAGAATTTGGGAAACATTTGCAACTTTTCTACACTGTCTTACTCAGTTCAAGTCTGTATTGAATACATTAGATTATTTTAGACGATTTCCTTTTTGCTAGTAGGTCTGGTAGTGATGAATGTAAAATTCTAATGTCTACTTTTAGTAACTTAGCTGGGGATTTAGGTGTACCACTAGCCCGTGAGAAAACTTCTGGCCCAATGACAAAAGTAATATTTCTAGGTTTCGAAATTGATACACTAGAGATGACAAGATCTCAGAAGCAAAGTTAGAAATCCTAAAGAGTCTGATTGAAAATTTTTAGATAGGGAAAAAGTTACACTGCAAGAAATGCAGTCTTTAGTTGGAATGCCCATTTTTTTCTCAAAGGCAATCAGATCTAGTAGAGCTTTTATTCGAAGAATGTATGATGCATTTAGTGGAGTTTTCGAGCCATATCATCATATAAGATTATCAGTTGGCATTAAAAGTGACCTTAGAATGTGGCTGGTGTTCTTGAACCGTTTCAATGAGGTAGCATATTTTCCTAATACTGTATGAGAAGATTCTAAAGATTCTAGCATTTTACAGTTATTTACAGATAGTACAGGTTCAGGTTGTGGGGGTTACTTTAGTGGAAGTTGGTTTTTTCTCCAATGGCCAAAACACTGGAACAACCAAGAACTTTTGAGAGACATGACTTTTCTTGAGCTCATACCAGTAGTTTTAGCAATAGAGATATGGGAACCTAGGTTGCTACATAAAAAAGTTCAGTTTCATGTTGATAACCTTTCACTAGTTAGTGTCATCAATACCTAATCTTCCTAGTCCAAAAGACTTATGGAATTGGTAAGACATTCGGTTCTTAGACTGATGATCAACAATGTAATATTTAGGGCAAATCACATTGGTAGCTTGGATAACAAAATTGCAGATTCTATTTTTCGCAAACAGTGGTTCCGCTTCAAGACGTTGGCACCAGAGGCAAGCACCAGACCAGACTCTCTTCCAGTAGAATTAGTCAACATAATTTACAGATACAGATAAATAAATTGCTAGATGCTTCAATCTCTTACAACACTAAAATAGCATACGAAATAGGACAAAATTCATTTTATAATTTCCGGAAAGAATGTGGGTACGGAATTTCATGGCCCCCACCTCTTAGGGATGTTGTTCACTTTGTTGCTTATCTGTCACTAAAGAAGTGTTCCTATGCTACTTCCATGTATTATCTATCTTCTATTAGTTTTTCAATGCAAAATCCATAATTGGGTTGATGAAACAAAGAACTTTCTAGTTGTAAAGGTTCTTGAGGGTATGAGAAAAACTGGTAGGTCTGCAGATGCAAGGCTACCTATAACCTTGCAGTTGCTTACTAAAGTTGTTAGGGTTTTACCGAGCATTTGAAGCGATAGTTATGAAACAAAATTGTACAGAGCTGCTTATATACTAGCCTTCTTTGCTTTTCTCAGAAAAGGGGAAGTCACATAGTCTACTAGTAATAGTGTTAATACAATTTTACAAGTGATTGATGTTTAATTTGAAGCAAATTACTCCATGGTTTTTGTACAAATAAGAATGTCAAAATGTGATCAGGACAGAAAGAGGGTTTCTTTAGCCATTGATAAAAGTGAGGGAATCCTGTGTTCGGTTGCAATTTTGATAGATTATCTCGCAGTAAGACCAAAAATTAAAGGGCCATTATTTATCCACTATGGAAAAAATCCCCTTATCAGGTATCAGTTCTCTTCGGTTTTGAAAAAAATCACTTCAGGTTTTGGGGGTTCAGGGACATTATAGGGCCCATTCATTTCGTATCGGGGCAGCCACTGCAGCATTTGAATGGGGTTGTTCACAAGATGTCATGTAATGGAATCAGCTGGGCGTTGGAAGTCTAGGGCATATAAATCATACATAAGATGTCCTATTTGGCAGATGCTGGGGGCAAGTTGTAATTTTGTAAATATAACAAGAATTATTCAAATTATTGCGTAAATTTGTAGAGGTCCCTGCAGTTAAAATCTGGTGTGTGGGCTCCTCTATTATTAAGAATGCAATGATGGCATCAGTATGCAGACCGGGGGAACAAATCCTGGATTGGATGCATTGAAAATAAATATCAGAATACGAGGAATCTCCAGACTTTTTGATTATTCACTGTGGGGCAAACGATATAGGGTCAATTGTTCAATATACTCTTATTGAGAAAATTAAATCCCATCTAAAGATTATTAAGACTCGCTTTCCACATTCGACACTTGCTTGGTCACAGATGCTGCCACGAAATAAATGGAGGTACTCGGGGGAAATAAAGCAATGGAGCGATTCCGTCTTTAGGCCAATAGGGTAGCTGCTGAAAAACATGTCACAATTTCTGTTGACAGATGGAGTACACCTCAATAACCGAGGAAATAAACTCTTTCTGCATAATATCCAAAAGGGGGGGGGGTTGGGGTTTAGAATTTTTCCTGTCAAAACAAGGCAATGTATATCCTTAAACAAAACATAGAGAACATTGGTCCGTGAGGGGCTTTTTTGTCAGTTGCTTGGGTGCTCCCCCCATGTGTGGGATGACTGCGAACTTTCCTTTGGTTGTTCGCTGTCATGTGGCGTTTGCGCACACCAAAGCAACTGAGGCCTACATAAACCCTGTATTGTTGTGAAGTCTTTACCATTGAAATGTGAAGGGGGTTGAAGTGTTGAACCATTTTATATGTAAAATATTTGCTGATATGTTGATATAATTTGTTTTGTGCTTGAATTGTGCATGTAACTAATTACACTTAAATAAGTAACCTTAAATAAAGTAACCACCCGCGGTTTACCAGGGGTGGTCATTTTTGAACATATGATTTGTTTTTGTTGATGAATGTTGTTTAATTTGTGTGGGTTTGCCCAAAAGTTGTGTGTATTAATTGGTATCCCACAAAATACTATGCCACGACCAATGTTCGCCAAAATAAAGGTTAAAACAAACATCTTGTTGTCATTTCCCTGTATAAATAACTTGCAGTTAAAGATTAAAATCGGTATTGTTTATTTGATTTTACAATGTCAATGTCAAAGCTGATTTCAATATATATAACTCATTCTTCAATACTGGTGAATTTTTAAAATATATTTCTTTTCTCCTTTATTTTCCAATAAATAAAGTGGAAGCAGATAGATTGATATTGATATGATTGGACACTTGTGTAAGGATATAGTATAAATAGTTTTATGGATATGAGTTAAGGAATAAAAAAATATTGATCATTGTTGTATTGCATTTACGGGATTTCAATTGCAGAAAATGTGACATAATTTTCGAATAGGCATAAAGATGTTGTTTTATTTAAAAATAAAACCATTTGGCATGATATATGTGTACATTATCTTAGCATATAAATGAAATAATATATTTATTTTGTCAAACATGCTAAAATTATCCTAATTATTTTTTTCTGAACTTAAAAATTTGTGGTTTATGTTCGTAACGCATGGTGTCCATATGCATTGAACTTTTTAACACCTCTCTACAAACATTAAATAATTTGTCAAGTTCAATTTCTGTGTTTAATTAATGAGTATGTATGATAAATTATTTTTAACAATATGCTTCATGAACATAACTCAGTTCTTTTTGTAATTTTAAAATGATCTCTGATTGTAAGATGTTTGGTGTCTTGACGACCGTTACGAACATAATAGCTTTCAGTATGATTGCTAAAATAACAGCCAATGAATCATAAGTTTGGCTCAGGAAGTCCGTAGCAGTGATATAATTATTAATTGAAAACGAAAGTAGAAAGGTTGCGCAGCTGTCTGCAAAAAAACATGGCGATGCTCATTGTGTCCACGTGGAAGACAGAAGTTACGTACATAATAGATTCGGTAAGTATTTTCATATTGTATCAATTTTAGTGAATTTTTAACACATAAATACAGTCATTGTATCTCTATACCATGTAGCCATTAATCAGAAACTGAAATATGTTGCTTATGACCATACAAAATGCATAAATTTGTCCGAGTCGAGTACTTTTGGTTTAACATTTGACTTTTGATTCGCGTCTTTTGTTACGAACATGTGTTTTTGCATTATTTGTATAATCTATTAATGATAAAGTTATATTGTACTATATTTTATTCTATATTTGTTAGTTTTGTTCTGCTCTTATCAAAGGATGAATACTTTTTGAATATTTGTTTTAATATTGCCATATCATTTACGCAATTACGTTCATAACAGAGACACGAAAACTTGAAGTAGTGACATAATTTGTACTTTAATTGCCTTCTTTCTGGTTTTATCAAGGATATATAATAAATATAATTAAACAGCATATGTGTTGATTACATCATGTTATATTTTGTTTTTTATATATTTTTTTCTTTCAGATTTACAAGAAATGACTGAATTATGTTCGTAACAATGACACAAAGATCCAAGACTCAAAATAGAAGACCCAGGATATTTAGCAATCCATCTGACAATTTACTTGTCTGCATTAATTCTCTTTGAAAGCTAGTCTATTATTAAGCTTTGAAATGAAATATTAAAAGTATTAAAGACAAGTGTTCGATTGTCTTGTTATTTTTTTTTTGTTCGTTTTTAAAGCCTGATTCGGAGTTAGGTGTCCATGTTACTTACATAATTTCTCCTTTTTTGAAACTAGAAATAAAAATTGTGACTTTTTAAATAAATTCCATTTAATAAAAAATTAAACATGATTTCATCATACCTTTTTGATTACATTATTTTCATATTTTAACAACTTGTTAAATTCTAGTAACATGTTACTTGTTTAGTGCTTATGTAAGTAACGGTGTCCATTGGTAATCTTGGATATATTTTCTAATTATAATGGAATAAGGCAGAAATAAGTCATGCAGTAAAACATGCAAATTAGTGTTTATATACTTCAAAAAGGATTCACCAAAAAAGAATAGCTTATTGATTTAAAAAACAGTCACTGTGGACACCAAGTTACGTACATAAAATTTCAGACATGCTTGTACATTTGGACACCTATCTCCTCTTTAAGACTTCAGATTATCTTCCCATCAATTTTTTTCAGAAGCAGGAAGGGTACTGACTCAATTAATATACATAAATTATGAAATTGATTATTTTTAAAAAATAACCCTTTGGTCACACATCTGAACTCAGTACTGAAGAATGAGTTATAT